TTAATTAATTGGTCCTCTCAGAGTTAGGTAAGACAACTCCCACCTTGTTTATGCTCTCTGTATGTGTGTATATATATCTCCTCAATATATGTTCCATTCTATATGCATCCGAAGAAGTGGGCTGTAGTCCACGAAAGCTTATGCTCTAATAAATTTGTTAGTCTCTAAGGTGCCACAAGTACTCCTGTTCTTCTTTTTGCGGATACAGACTAACACGGCTGCTACTCTGAAACCTGATAGCCTAAGCTGAAAATCTTGCATCTCTCATCAGTAGAAGTTGGTCTAATAAATATTTGCTCACCCACCTTATCTCTCCTCAAGTGAGAGGATAATTCATTCTCCATGGGCTTGTCCACAATAGGGAAAAGCCTAGGATTCCCTTGACTTGCTAACATGGGATAAATCTACAGTTTTGCCATTCTGCACTAGGATTTTAAAGAGAGCTAATTATCATGTTGTTTAAAAAACTCCTACCATTTTCTGTAGCATGGACAAACCCTTTGAGATTGCCAATGCAGATGCCCATTATGAGAATGGGATTTTGATTAAGGAAGGTTTTGCTTCTCTCATGCTATTAGGTGAACAGTGAAAAGTTCCGTATATCGCTGTCAGTCACTTGAACCTACACACACTTGTTTTATGGCACTCAGTGTGCCCTTCCTTTGATTTGGATACATTTTTAACTTGTTTGTTGGCTACTGACACTGTCTTTTGTTTTCAGACAAATGAGTGGCTGGAGAGAATTATAGACTGGGCACTGTGGATGTATTTTTCCAAAGCACTTAAGAGCACAAAGCCCCTTGACAGTCAATGGGACTAGTGTGCCTAAGTCACTTAGCTATAGGGTTGCCAATTTTCTACTAGCACAGAACTGAACACACTTGCCTTGCCCCCCTACTAACTCCATCCCCCCTTCCCTCTGTTGCTCACTCTCCCCACCTTCACTCACTTGCTCATTTTCACTGGGCTGGCTCAAGAGGCTGGTGTGCGGGAGGGCAAGAGGGCTCCTGCTGGGGGTGTGGGCACCAGGGTGGGGCCAGGGATGAGGGGTTTGAGGTGTAAGAGGGGGCTCTGAGCTAGGGGGTGGAGTCGAGGTGTCTGGAGTATGGGAGGGGGCTCCGGGATGAGGCAGGGGGTTGGGGTGTAGGAGGATGCTCCAGGCTGGGGCCAAGGGGTTTGGAGAGTGGGAGTGGGATCAGGGCTGGGGCAGGGGGGTTGGAGCATGGGAGGGGGTTGGGGTGCAGTCTCTGGGCAGCACTTACCTCAAGCAGCTCACAGAAGCAGCGGCATGTCTCACACACACACAGCCCCCCCCCAGGGCTCCTATGCAGAAGCACGGCCGGGTGGCTCTGTATGCAGCCCCGTCCGCAAGCGCCGCTCCCATTAGCTGCGGTTCCCAGCCAATTGGAGCTGCAGGGATGGCACTTGGGGCGGGGACAGTGTACGGAGCTCCCGGCTGCTCCTGTGCGTAGAAGCCACAGGGGGGATATGCTGGCTGCTTCTCAGGAGCTGCGCAGCACGGAGGCTAGCAGGGAGCCTGCCAGCCCCACTGCGCGCACCGCCAACCCGACAGTCAATGGCCTGGTCAGCAGTGGTGACTGGAGCCACCAGGATCCCTTTTTGACTGGGTATTCTGGTAGAAAACCGGACACCTGGTCACCCTATTGAGCTACTTCCAGAAGTCCCACCCTGTGCCTCCCTGAAAATATTTGATTTCTCTTTTAGAGCTGGTTGGAACACTTTGGACTAAATGAAATTTCATCAAAATATGCTATTTTGTTGAAACCAATATATTTTGTGGAAACATATCTCTTTTGAGAGAGGTTTTTTGGGGATAGAAGAGCTAGCCAGACTTCCTTTCTCACTCAAGCCTGGTGGCTATGGTGCTGGCCTGGGATGTGAGAGATCCACATTCGAGTCCCGTCTCTGTCTGATTCAGGGACTTGAACCTGAACATCCAAGCCTGTGCTCTAACCACCACCTTGGAGACAGACAGACACACCCATCCCCTGCATGCACCTACCCCCCCCCCAGCTACCCCCTTCCCTAATAGAAAAGCTCAGGTTTTGATCTAAAAAAACAGACAATTCAACACAATTTCACTTTCATGAAAATGTTCCAGGGGTTTTGGCTTTGTTCCGACGTTGAAAGAAACTAGATTTTGAAACCAAACTTTGAAAGTTGCCGTGAAACAGATTTTTTTCATTATCCAGTCAGTTCTATTCTCTTTTAACAAAGCTTCCAGCATGCTTAGGTGCTGTCTCTCCCCAAACCCTCTCAATTAGCAAAACAAATCTCATGCTGAAGTGCTTTAGATTGAATGTTGTTACAATGTAGAAATCTAAATTTAAAAGTACTGCAGTGGCTCAAAAATAAGCATAAAAAGTTAAACCTCCTTTTTCGTTGCATCTTAGATATTTTAAAACTTGCTGGACTTTGCCCGTTGAACTGTACTTTCTTTACTTTAAGAGTGATGAATCTGAAGACGATGAACCTTGTGCAATAAGTAACAAATGGGCTTATGAGAGGTGCAGTCAGAGATGGTCTCGCCTGGAGAGCATAGAAGGTTTCCCTGAAAAAGAGTCTAGTGCATCAGTCCCAGACAGTCCAAGACTTAAGAGCACTGGTAGTGAGGAGATATCCTTTTCAGACCAAGGAGAGAAGCATGATGTGTCTTCAATTCACAGTACTAGCAGTGGGGACAGTGACATTATCAGCTTCCCTAAGACTTTTGAGGATGTTGAGACCAGCACTAGTTCTTCAAGGTGTTCATCAAGTAAACTGGCCTCTCCTGACTCTACTTTTAGTTGTTCTCCTTCTCCTAGTGAGTTCTTAAACATCATCAGCGAGGAGAAGCTTTTGGATAAGCCACCACAAAAAAAGGGGAAGAGCTTTCTAAAGAAAATGGAGAAACTGCGCATAAGGAGTTCCAGTGTAAAGAGAGCTGCCCAGTCAAAGGCCAAACCCACTATTGGTGAACCTGTTCTTCTGGAGGGACTGGACGAAGAGAAGCTGAAGAACCTTAATTCTGTAGATATTTGTGACCTATCTGACTGCCAGATGAAAAAGAATTCTTCCTATTCTCCCCACACTTGCAGCAGCAGCAGCCAGTCTGAAACCAGCAGCACAGTGAGCACTCCGAGTCCTGTTATCAAAGTCAGGAGCTATGCTAAACGGGGAGGCATGTATGCGGAAGACTCCGACTCTAGCAAGCTCTCTCTGTGGAACGATGTATCTGAGCAAAACTTAAAAAATGAAATAAATTTGCATGCAAACCAAATGTTTCACGTACCACAAGGCCATAAGCCTGGGACTTTCCCCAAAGCACTTACAAACAGTTTCTTATCTCCAACAGACAACACTTCTGTGAACTGGAGAACTGGAAGTTTTCATGGATGTAGGCGGAACAGAATTAGAACTAGTTCTAAAGAGTCTGAGACCCCTCTGAGTCCTCTGTCGTTTATAGATAACAGGATGAGTATCTATGACAATGTGCCCAGCATTCCTGTTCATCTTAATAAGATGGAGACGCCGGAAGTTAGTGACGACGATGTTTTTTCAGAACTAGACAATGTTATGGAACATGTCAATGGGCTCAGAAAGTTGGTCAATCAGTGGACTGAGAAGTTCTCAGATGATGGAGACTCTGATTTTGCGAACGACTCAACCTCTCCGTGTCCATCTTCCCCTAAAGAAATCCACCTTGAGATAAAAAAGCATTCAGAAGAGAAATTGGCAGATCTACCAGCTGCTGATGGAAAACAGAACTGCAAGCATGGCAATGACCTTGATTCCCCAGAACTGGCATATATAACCGATTCAGAGATGGGATCCTCATTCTCACATTCCAACAGGTCAGCTTCATTTTTCTTTATAACCTTCCCCTCCTCCTTCTGTCCTACCTCCAAAAACTCCCCTCACTCCAAAACACAATCACCTTCTCAAAACAATGAGAAATTTAAATCTATTTCAACTAGACACAAACCTGAACCAACCAGATCCAGGTATTAGGTGCTATAGTATCATGGTGATGATGGCCACATAAATACCGAGATAAATCCAGTTCCAAACTTTGGAGCTCATTCCTCTCTCTAATTTGAACCTTTCACATTGGTGCAGTATCTCATAACCTAGACCTTTTATGTAAAATGCAACCAAAATCTGCTTGGAAACAGCAGGTCACTTTTCAAGTGATTGATTTGATAGGACAAAATGTTCCATACGTGTTCCATTGCTGTAGGCAGAGACCTGACAGGAGCAATAAGAACATTCCTTTAACCTAAATAATGTTTACTCCTTAGACATGAGAGGCGACACTGGTCTGCAGAGGAGACTGTAAACTTGGAAAGCCTTTCTGTACAAATTGATAACCAGTCAGCAGCCCACCTAAACCGAATACAGAAACTGGCTTTGTTGAAACTCACTGCTTTAATGGACAAATACTCTCCTTCCAGTAAACAGGGCTGGAACTGGTAAGTTATGTTAACATATTCTACTTCAGGAAAAATGACAGTTGGCAAAAGCAGATGGCTCTTACCCTGCTCTGAACTGAGTGTGCACATCTGGCATGAAATCCAGGTCCCACTGTCTCAATGGGAGTTTTGCTACTGATTTCAGTGGGGCCAGGATTTCACCCAGACTGTCACCCTTTCCTACAGTTTGGCATTATTGATAACTTAAATAACAGTCCAAGCTTCAGTCTTCGCTTTCTCCCGAAGCTTGCCCCTTCATAGTTCTTTTCTGCAAAAGAACTCCTCCGAGAAAAAAGGGAATTAGGATCTGGGACAGAGACCCATTCCAACCCTTCTATCCTAGTTGTAGCTTAAATAAATAAATAAGTCACCTGCCATTGTGATCAGCAATAACAATTCTGCATTTTTATGCAGGGTTCTAGCACCTGAACATAGGGACACAACAGAGGAACCTGCCACTCTTACAAGGATGGTAGTGTATCCTGCAAGAGTTTCAGCTTGAAATGAGGATTTCTTTATGGGAGCTGCACCCTGCTAATTTAAGGGACTTAGTTGTTTCTGTATTTTTAAGTGTTGATTTCTTTGTGCTACCATGAGTGTAATAAGGCTGCAGCATTTGGAGAAGGAACAAAGGTGGCACATGACTTCCTAAATGTGCACAGTATAAAGAGAGGGGTGTGTGTGTGAGGGGGGAAGATCCCCAGTGCCCCCTGCTCTAAACTGCTTGAATGGAAGGGCAGCTAATGGTTTGAATGTATTTATTTTTGTTTTCAGGACCGTTCCGAAGTTCATTAGAAAAATCAAAGCCCCAGACTATAAGGACAAAAATGTATTTGGGGTCCCATTACTGCTAAATGTTCAGCGAACAAGCCATCCACTTCCAAAGAGCATTATCCAGGCCATGGAGTACTTAAGAAGCCACTTTCTTGACCAGGTACAAATATAAAACAAACCTAAATATGACTTGAGTGATACTTCATTCCATGTATGTTTTTAACTTGGAACCCCTAGAGAGCTGACCGCCAGTTTCTTTTGCTTTGTCAACCCTTTCAAGGACATTCTTTCCTCTCCAAGGCTTCTAACAGTGGTGTCTGAACAGGCTTGAGTGGGCACCCAACAGGGAATAGCAATATTGTTCTCCTTTTGTGGATACCTTATTTCCACCCCAGTATAAATGTATCTGCCCTTCTTTGTTTATAGCACCTGCAGCTGTTCTGTTCACTTGGCAAATGTGGGCCAACTGCCTTCTCTCAGTGGTACTTTAGTGGTAAAAAGCAAAAACTAACACCTGTAGCACCCCTTGTCTCTCTGTACAGTCTAAAAGCATCGCAACATCGGAATTCTCATTTCATATTTCTAAGAATTGAGCTGTAGCTTTTTATGGCATATAATCAGGATGTGATTTAACATCCTTTTTGTGCCTAAGTTATATTTATCCGCTGCCCTGAAGATATTTACATTTGTAGATTAGTGCCCACAATTATGAGCCACATACTATATGCTGCGGTAGCTCTGTAATAAGGATGGGGAAAGTTTGTAAAGTTAGAAGTTTTCCATCCCTCTTCAACTGTTTAGATTCACAAATCTAGTTAGGGTTCATTAATCTTTTTCTCATGTAACTTAAACCCATGGAGGGTTGTGGGGGTTTTGTTTTTGTTTGTTTTTTAAAAAAGATTCAGTTCACTTCGAAAACCATTTTACATGAGTCCTGGATTTGGGATAAAGTCTCTCTTCATTGAAAACTAAATTGGCTAAAGTGGGGAGTCGCCTTGTATGTCACTGTGTGCATATTAAAGGAAGATCTGTCAATACAGTGTTTAATTTGCAGATTTGTGTAGACCTATATAACCAAATATTATGCAAAATGAAAAAATGATCCAAATACATATTATGGGGTTAGTGTACAAATCTATATCTTGCAGTTAAAAATGGAATATATTTTCTGTAACATCGTCAAAACATGTCATTTCAATAGTATCACTTTGGTTCATTTGGCTTTGACTTTATATTACATTAAAACATTAACTTTACTGTATATTAAAATATATAACACTAAATATTTTAATATTATAAAAGTTGAAACAAAATTAATTGAAATGATACTATTGAAATGACATGTTTTGACATTATCCAAATTGAATTTTTCAGAATTTTTTGTCTCATGGAAAATTTAAAAATTTCCAATTTTCATTCCAAACTGAAATTAATTTCTTTGAAATATTTCCCACAAAATGGAAATTCTGGTTCTCATCCAACTCTAAAAAATAGGCTTGTGAAACTTTATGCGATTGGATATCCTGCTTAATGCAATTACCTAGGTATCAATTTAAATTCATACTTATGTACAAACCCTTTTCTCTTTGATACACAACACCCAAAGTGCACTGGCACTTGCGGACCTTGTGTTAACCTTGTATCCTGTTGATGTAAATTGAGAGAGCCAATACAAATATATTTAAAAGGAAGAAAAGTCTTCAGTGAGGACTCACTTCTCTCACTCTTGGGTTAACTGATGCACCGAGAGTCCCAGGGTGGTTTGGCTGGAGAATAGGGAATCTCCAAGCTGTTTCTAAAGAGATCAGAGTGCATTGGTAGTAGCTGACTTTTCAGAGCAATGCTAGGGATATTTGAGCAAAGTCATGTCCCATGTACAGTGTGTGCATGTACAGCCATCATAAGTACTTCAGTGTCAGAGTTCAGGAGAAAAATTGCTTATTCTGACTTAGGTTTGGGCTCTTATGTCTGTCTGTTCTCTTAATAGGTTGGCCTGTTCAGAAAATCAGGCGTTAAATCTAGGATCCTTTCTTTAAGGGAAATGAATGAAAATGACCCAAACAATGTAATGTATGAAGGGCAGTCGGCGTTTGATGTGGCAGATATGGTAAAGCAGTATTTCCGAGATCTTCCTGAGCCTATATTCACTAGCAAGCTTTGTGAATCCTTCCTCCACATCTATCAGTGTATGTAATTTTTTTAATTTTCTGAGTTTCTTGGACGTTTAGGCCAAAAGTAACCTCTGATTTTGTGTGCCCCATATTTTGAGAATCCAACGTTATGCTGCTGGGGGCGGGACTTTTCAGAAGTTCTGAGCATCTTTAAGCCCAGTTGAAGTCAGGTGCTCAGCACTTCTCAAATAAAATCCAGTGTGTCTCGAGATGGGCTTCTAAAATCAATATGAAAATATTGTTCTCAGATTATATAACACATACTATTTTCCTCACCCTTGTGTTTTTTCTCTCTCTCTCACACACACACACACACACACACACACACACACACACACACACACACACACACACACACACACACACACACTACTTACCTTAAC